TTCAGCATTCTCCGCCAGCACCACAGCTCAAAAGCATCAACTCTTCTTCGGTCTTCCTTATTCATTGTCCAGCTTGATAAGGCATGGCAGGCTGCTAAACAACACATGTGGCTCCATGCTGGGTCCAAGCCCAAAGCTGTAGACCATCCCCAAAGCATCTCTTTATATATGGGAAGTGGCCCACATCCCTAAGGCAGTAACTCAGGTTCTTACAGTAGATTCCACCATGGAGCTGACTGCCAGTCTCATCATGGGGAATACTACATCCAGCTGCCCAGCTACTCAACCAGGCCCAGCCAAGTTGACAAGAACCTTAACTGCCACACGTGGAGAAGAATTTCTGGGTATTTTGGTAACTCTAACTTTTTGAGGGACCCCCAGACTGTGTCCCATCAGCCATGGACAAGAGTTCCAGTTATTCCACCTCCTCACCAAGTCTTTGCATTTTTAGTTCTTCTGATCACAGCCATCGTGGGTCAAGCTGCCATCTCACTGTGGTCTTCATTAGCATTTCCCTAATGACTCAGGTCATGTTGTCTGAATGGAACAGTCGCTGGAGAAGGATATGATGCTTGGTAAAGGGGAGGGTCTGCGAGAAAGGAGAAGACCCTCAGTGAGACGCACTGACAGGGGCTACAGGGATGGGGTTCAGCAACAATTGTGAGGATGGTGCAGGACCGCACAGTGTTTCATTCCATTGTATACAGAGTGACCATGGGCCACAACTGACTTGACAGCAGCTAACAACAACAGCAACACAACAACGATGGAGACATTGAACATCTTTTCCTTGTCGGCCCTTTGCACATCTTCTTCCCTTGCCAATTTGTTAATTGGATTATTTGTCTTTTTAAATTGGATTGTTTGTCTTTTCCTTGTTGAATTGTAGTTCTTTTAATGGGAAGAACATGGTATTGTTCAAGCTGAAAGAACTGAAGAAAAAACTTCAAGCCTTGACTTGCAAACCTTAAAGATTCCATGGGCAAAATATGGACTGATACAGGAAACATCCAAGAAGATGGAAGGAATACACAGAGTCATTGTACCAAAAAGAACGGGTTGGTCTTGATCCATCTCGGGAGGTGGCATGTGATCAAGAACTGATGGCACGGAAGGAAGAAGGAAAAGCTTCATTAAAGGAGTTGGGAAAAACACGGCTCCAGGAATTGACAGAACACCCACTGAGATGTTTCAACAAACCAATGTCACACTGGAGGCACTCACTCAGCTATGCCAAGAGATTTGGAAGACAACTAGCTGGCCAACTGACTGGAAAAGATGCATTCTGCCCATTCCAAAGAAAGATGATCCCACAGAGCATGGAAAGTATTGAACAATGTCATTAATGTCACACGCAAGTAAAATCTTTTTTTTTTTTTTTTTATTAGGATTTGGGTGAAGATTTACAGAGTAAATTCACTTTTCATACAGCAGTTCACA